TCCACTTTCACATTCCAAAGTCATTGCACATGGAATTTCAAACAGAGCAGAGAAAATCAAATCTCAAAATCCAACATCAACCGAAATGCATTGCACATACGCATCTCAAAAGGAAAAAATCACAGCATAGTTAGGTAGGGAATACCGGAACATAGTAAGATTCAAACATCAAAACCACCGCAGGAAGAGGAACCACCGCACAAAGGGCATAGACAATGATCTAAACAAAGTTGAAGAATGGAGAGAGAAAGAGAGAGAGAGAGAGAGAGAGAGAGAGAGAGAGGGAAACTCACCGCAACGATTCCAGAGAAGCGAGAGAGAAAGAGACAATACGTTACACCTTCCAAACGCAAGAGAGAGGGATTATGACAAGAGTTGCGAGAGTGAAAGAAGGCACCACAAAATCACGAGATAGAGAGGGATTAGGGTAAAGAGTCACGAGAAACAAAGGAAAGTGGGCCACAGGGTCGAAACCGCGACCGCGTTTAATCACAATTTTTTTGAAAACTCCACCGCACTGCAACATTCAAACGCCCCTTGCTTCTCCAAACGGGTTGTTAGTGAAGTGTTCCTTTATTCAGTCACTTCTCATTCTCTTCTAGAGAGTTTTGTGCTTCCAAGTCTAAGTGTTGCAAGTGTTAGGCTGATCTAGTGCTTAGGAAGAGTGCAAGGCACACGGGTGACTTGCGAGAAATTTGTTCGTGATAGTTGGTGTCAGGCCAAGGTTAAGGCACGACAAAGAGTTTCAAAGAGCATATCATGGAATCTGAGGCCACAAATGTAGAGTCATCTCAACGAGAACCAGGTTGTGAGGAGCAACAAAATCCTGCTAAATCCAAACCATATGAAAGGTTTAAGGAGCTCATATATGGCTTTGATTCGTGCCTTGCTTTGTTGGAGGAGGTTATGAATGACATGGAGGCCCAAATGGAGGGTCTAGGCCAAAAGGTGGATGACCTTGAGGAGGACGACATCACCATCCATTCCACAATCAGGGAAATGATGTTCCAATTAGAAAAATTCATGGAAGTCCAATTGACAAAGATGCAAAAAGACCTAATGGGATCTCGTCGATGTACAACGATCTCATGAATAAGAGATGAGCAACCTTCGTGCCATCTTGGAGGAGATGCATGGAGATGTATCGTTATGCAAGAGGGGACTAGGGACATCAACCAACCGCTATGCATTCGAAGTCAAGTGCATCAAAGTGCTTAAACTTCAGAGTTTTGGAGCTCACAACGCCAAAGAAGTAGACAACTCCTTATGGGGACTAGGATAATATTTTGGAGCCATAAGCATTACTGATAAAAATGCAAAGATCCAATTTGCTGCTCTTTCTCTCTCTGACACCGCTATGTTATATCGAAGAAGAAGGGGAGGAGACATAGTGAAAGGTATGTGCATCATATCCACCTTTGATGATTTCAAGAAAGAGCTTAAGCGACAATTTTTTCCAGAATGCGGGGGATGAGGCTAGAGCCTGATTGCAAAGACTCAAACAAGTAGGATTGATTCTGGAATATATTAAGGAGTTTACTAGTTTGATTCTTAAAATACACAACATGTCAGATTAGGTTACTATCTTCAACTTCATGGATGAGCGTGGAAGTGCAAGATCTTGCTACTGTCATTGCATTTGTTGAGAGCTTGATTGACTATGCAAATGAGTCAACAACACCTATAGATGAGAAGAGTGCTTTCGTCAATAATGAGGGAAATAAGGGTTAAGACAAAGAAGAGACACAGTATGAATCACCCTCGTTCAAGGGCAAAGATAAGGAAAAGTAAAAAAGATAACAAAATCAAGCCATATAACAATTGCTTCAGTTGTGTTGGGCCTTATTGGGTAAGGGATTCTTCTTAGAAGAAAGTCTTGAACGCTCTACTAGCAATTCATCATGAAGAAGAAGAGGCATTATGAGGTAATATGGTGGCACAAGTAGGGTCTATGCAATTGCTGAATGAGATACAAATTTTAAGAAAAGCCCAAGCAAAAAGGGTTACTCTTTGTAGAAATTGTAGTAAGTGGAAAGACTTCTAGAGCAATGGTGGACACGTGTTGCTCATAACTTCATCTCTATTGAAGAAGCACAATGGATAGAACTACAAGCAGTTGGAGAAGGAGGCTCCATCAAGATAGTCAATTCAACGTTAGGACCAATTCATGGAATATCAAGAGGAGCAAAGATCATTATTGGAGTTTGGTCATGTACATTGGACTTCTCTGTTATTCCATTGGATGATTTCGAAGCTGTTGTAGGGCTAGACTTTTTGGATCAAATAAAAGCATTCTCAATACCCTTTCCCAATAGCATATGCACCATGGAAGGCAACCAAGCTTGCCTATTATCAATAATAAGGACAAACGAGCAAGAAGCTACGGTGTTATCAGCCTTCCAATTCACGAAGGACATCTGACAAGAGGAAGAAAGCTACTTAACTATTCTTCATGACTCCAATAATGAAGAACCAAAGATCCAAGAAGGTATGCCATGGGAGGTAGTAACGCTAATTGCTGAGTTTAAAAATGTCTCACTTACAGAGTTATCAAAGGAGCTTCCACCAAGAAAAAAAAGATAAAGCATCAGAATAGGCTGGAGCCACAGATTGAGCCATCAACCATGAAATCTTATTGCATGACACTTCTCTCCCATACAACCATTTATGAAGGAAAAATCTCAACAGTTTTCAAGTTTGCCAAGTCAGGGAGCAAACAAAGGGATTGGTTCGAGTGTCACTACCTAAAACTACAAGGACTACAAATGGTGGCAAAAAAAGCGACATGTGAGTGTAGAAAAGAAGGTCCATCAAGAGGAATCTCTAAGCGCACGAACAACATTAATCACTTCTTTTGATAAGAAGGAAGATGAAATACTTGCTGATTAGGTCAATCACCGAGGAGGCGCACCAAATTATAAGAAATACCTCATCAAGTGGAAAGGATTACTTGATAGTGAGGTCAGCCGGAACATGAAGATATATTGTAGCAAAGAAAAGATCCAGCTGTCACGATCAGGCCCGGAACTTAGAATTAACTAAGACGGGAACAGACGGTTGGACTGTGTGAATTAGATTTACTATATTCAGTTACTGTATAACAGATAAAAAAGCCAATAATTATAATTCAATTAAAGCGGTACAATTAAAATTACATTTTTACTTGTTGTTCGCGTATTCTATAAGAATTTTTCATTCTATCGTTGATCTTTAATCGCTTAATTAACCCAAAAAATTAGTTTAAGATAACAGTGAGTTAAACAAACTAGTGAGTGCTCATATTCCTAAACTACAACATAAGGAAGAAAAAAGTAAAATGCATGCTAGATAAAAAAATTAATGAATCGGTATTAACATTTTTTAATGCTATCAAAGAATCTTTATCAATATCATACCAATGTCATTCCATATCTATACAAATGTCACAAGAGCATCATCTAAAAACTTGTACCAATTAAGGTGTTTTAATATCAATATTATTTTTCATATTTATACGGGTATCTTAGTGTACTCTCACTAGTACCATCAAAAGGTGGTTCCATTATAATCAACATGCACATATCAACATTCCATCAAAAATGTTATTTACTAAAATATATTTCATTCCCATTTGTGTATCAGACAATATACTTATAACTCATTTAAATAATGTTGTGCACACATTATTCATACAATATGAATAAAAATTCATTAGAATTTAAATTAAAGAACTTGCGGTAATTTCAATATAACTAAATATTGGTCTAGTAGAAGCAAAATATCACCATAATATAAGAACTTAAGTACCCACCTAGATTGCTATTAATTCTAAATATTCTCTTCACTTATCTCTAATGAGAAACCTAAAGTCAGGTGCATTAAAATTATTAATTTATTATATGTTAATCTTATTATTAAAAGTAGTTTGTCTTAATTTGACCCTTTGACATATTCTATTTTATTCATATTATATTAACTGTTATCTTCATTTAATTATTTTTTTTAATCAATTTAAGCTTAAAAAAATATTGATAATAAAGCTGGTTCTCTTAACTTTCTAGTTACTGATGTAATTTGCAAAGAAAAGATCCAAAAGTATCAGGAGGAAGACACAATGATGACATTGCGAGCTTAAGTAGGGGAGAGTGTTACACTCTGCTATTTTCAACGTAGTTAGTAGGCCAATGATGTGAAAGAAGATTCTAGAGAAAGTTAGAAAGAGGAGAGCGATCTAAGAGACTCTAGAAGGTTCCACTGCATTCTAGAGAATGTGGAAAGGAGAAAGCTTCAAGGAAAACTTTAGGATAACCCATAAAGCTCTAGAATCATGTATATATTAATAGGGCAATGTAGAACTATTTAGAAATTAGTCTATTCTAATGTAATCTTTCTATAGAACTTGGGGAGGACTATAAATAGAAGTCCCTCTGACTCTTTTGTAAACCAACCAAGATTTCTAAGCAACCAAGTATGCAATCCCTCTTTATTTAATTACTTGTCCTTCTTTCCTAGAGAGTTTTGTGCTTCCAAGTTCGAGCGTTGCAAGTGTTAGGCTAATTTAGTGATTAGGAAGCGTGCTAAAGCCGCACGGGTGACTTGTCAGAAGTTTGTTCGTGACATGCAGCTAATATTAAACCACCATCCTTAGATCAGTCTTCTTAACTTAGCTGTAGTTCAGATTAGCTGACTAAGTCAGCTTAAGGCTAATTACATTCTGATCATAGGAGGGCACGATATGTATTGTTTGTTTTTGATAATTCTAATTAATATTATGGATAAAGATTGGAATGTCTTTTAAAAAGTTATAAATAACCGCTCAATCTAAAAAGGAGCATGAAATCTTATTATTTAACACTATCGGCTAAATTCTGAAGCTCGGACGGTATATTTAATTTAGCCGGCTAAATTCTGAAGCTTTACAGTGCTAAGGAACAGCTTTTGCTTCATTGTAACTGAAAATAAGTTTTTTTATATATATATATATTTTTTGAAGGGTAACTGACAATATGTTTTTCGCGCAGGTTGTTGTCATTATTGGAAAGGGTGCAAGTGCCTTCGATATCTCTAAAGAAATTTCAAAGTTGGCCAAAGAGGTTCACGTGGCTTCAAGAACTACAGAAGTTAAACTTGGAAAGTTAGATAACTTTGATAATATTTGGCAGCATTTGATGGTTATATTTTATTCCCTAATTCCTTTTTTTCAGAGTAATTTTTGTTAACCCAAAAAAAAAGGGAGTTAACTGGTGTGCGCTTAACCTGTTTCCAAGCAGATTAAATGTGTTCATGAAGATGGTAATGTTGTATTCGAAGATGGTTTCGAAGTAATTGCAGATGTGATCCTCCATTGTACAGGGTATGCTATGCGGATCACCCTTTCCTTAAAATCAAAGTTTTTTTTTATTTTCTTTTATTGATTTGAAATATATTATGTTGGAGCTGCTAGCGATGTTGTTTGATGTTTAACTAGTTTGTTTAGCACCTAACGACCATAATTGAGTTAGTGGAGGAAAGATAATAATTGTTGGAAACAAAGTCTTATCATAATTAATTAGAAAATTAATAGTAATTTCGAAAGGAAATAGATAAAAGAATAATTGTTATTTCTTACTTTTTATCAATCCTTTATCCAGGATTATCTAGGTTCAGCATACTCTTAAACAGTAAAATCAGTAAAATTATGTACGCTTCTGATGTGAAAGATTTATACTTTAGAAGGCTAGGTTGATGAAGGGCATACTTGGAGAATTGCTGGTGCTATCTTAATATTCATATTATTTTAAATTAAAATCACATTTTACTTAAGTAAATATTAATTTTATGTTTTTTTGGAAGATCTACATACATACCACTCAATTCCTATGTATTTACATTTTGAAAAACTAAACCTTAATTTTTGCATAGGGGTATTTATATACATATCACAGAATTCTTATGTATTTTCCCATCTAAAACCTAAATATTCATATTATATACATACCACTCAAATCTTCAACATCACCTAAAAAACACCACTTTACTAACTTTTTAAAAGTCACATACTCTTTTTTATGCGTAGGTTTATCGCATCAAGATGTTGTAAATGTAAATATCAAGCTGTGGTGATAGATATGTAAATATATAAGAATTGTGTGGTATGTATGTAAATCTACCTTCTACATATATGCCACCTTTCATATGCATGAAAATGTGTGTTTCACTTTTTAAAAGTTAAAATAGTAGTATTTTAAATGTGATATGCAAAATTTGAGTGGTAGAAATGTAAAAAAGCAAGGTGTAGGTGTTAGATATGCAAATATGGAGGAATTATGAGGTATGCATGTAAATTCCCCTTTATTTTTCAGAATTGTAACTTAAGGAAATTTCAACTTACAACTTTACATGAATTATGAATATTAATTACCTGTTTAAGCTTAAAATTTTGGCATGAATTTTTTTTCCGTAAAAGTGTGGCTTAACATTAAGCTTCTGTCACAAAAATTTTAACAAACAACCATTAAGAACTTTCAAAAACTGTGAGAAACGATATTTTTCTTGACACAATTTTTAAAATTGTTGTTAATAATAAACATTCAGAAAAGATATTGGAAATGTCACTACATCCCCCTTTTTGTGTGTGTGTGTGTGTATTTTTAACTTGTTTATGATATTTATAGTCTCATAGAACTTAAAAGATTTGAAACAACTTTTGGAGGGGGCTGAAGGTACAAAAGAAAAAAAAAATACAAGTTTACTGAAAAAAAGGAAAATCAAAATACAACTCATCTTCGAGTATCATTAAGTGGGTGTGATTGCACCTCTAAATCAATAAGCCTATGCTAACGGCCAATACTTTTGGACAGGTACATTTTCAGTTTTCCCTTTCTCAAAGAAAATAAAGTTGTATGCGTTGACGACAGCCGTGTTGGGCCTCTATTCAAACATGTGTTTCCGCCACATCTTGCACCATGGATCTCTTTTATCGGAATATCAAGTAAGGTTGGTGAACTTAAAGCAAATTGTCTTAACATCCTTCACTTCTTAGATGTGTTTAGAAACAAAGATGGTTGTTCGCAAATTGTCTTCTATTTGAGAAAAGCATGCTTTTTAACTGTAATTTTTTGACAGCAAAACTGTTGGTTGTATTTGTTTTCATAATACGCTTTAAATTAACAAATAGAATTATCCAAAATAGGCCATATTAATTTATATGTATTTACATATCTTACACCTAAACTTCAATTTTCACATATATGCCACATTATCTATTTATGAAAAATTTCATTTCATTTTTTAAAGTTAAAATAATGGTATTTTTTATGTGATATGAATGTAAAAATTTAAAGTTTAGGTGTTAATATGTAATTACATAAGAATTGGGTGGTATGCATGTAAATTTCGCCCTTCTTTTCCGTCTGATCCTGTTACACAGAAGCGAGTTGTGCGCCTTAATACAACATTGGGTGGGGGGCTATTAGCAATGATGAATCCTGCACTGAAATAACATTCTCTACTCTTATTACAAAGATCTGATAATGTTTTGTGCTATGAAAAACGACGACAATAAAGTGAAAAAGCTGGATCGAAAAATTGCAAACTAGAAAATAGCACAGATTTATATGGTTCGGCTAATTTGCCTACGTCCATGGAGTTGCAGAAGATTTTAGTACTTCGAGAAATTACACTGTCGAACGCTTCAACTTTTACAAGAAATTTTTTTTTCTCCCTCTCTCTCTCTTCATTTCTCTCTCTTAGTTCTCCACCGTAAGCTTTTCTTATAAGCTTTGCCGAGCCAACCTTAAGGAGCCATGGGAGTAAGGAGCAGAGAGGTTAAGAGGGCTTGACTTAACAATTTATGAAAGGTCAAAAGAGACTATTTAAAGAAAACGAGAGAGCGGTAGGTGGGACGCGGAGAGAGGTAGGTGAGACGTGGAGAAAGTTTGGTGGGTCACCGACTCCATATATTTAACACTACCTACAGGCTGCATCATCTGCTGGTTGTACCGATTTTTTTTCTTAAAACATGATATCATCCACCTCTGCAACTCAAAACCCCTGTCTTCACACTAGAACATAACCTTTAGTCGAGCACAATTACAATTTTTCAAGAGTAACACTCTTAGTCAATATATCAATAGAGTTCTTAATTCCATAAATTTTTTCAAGTAGCAATTATCCGTATATAACAATGACCGTATGAAGTACCTGATCTGAATGTGCTTGGTCTTGGATTGAAATGTTGGATTCCAGCAAGAAATTTAACGCTCTGACTTCCACTGTAGAGAGTGTCCCTTTGAACCTTCTTACCAAATTCTTCCAAGAAACTTTGTAGTCATAACATCTCCTTTTCACCCTCTGACACTGCAATGTACCCAGCTTCTGTAGTGGACAACGAAATTGTCTTCTGTAGATTTTAGCCCCATGACACTGCAGTACCACAAAAATTATAAACATAACATGTAATACTCTTTCTACTGTCAATGTCTCCAGCTAAATCTGCATCAACATAGTCGTGTACCTCAAAACTCTTTTTTGAGAAACACAAGCAGGTTTTTGAAGAACCTCTTAGTTATCTCAAGATCCACTTCACAACTTCCCAATGTTCCTTCCCTGGATTACTCATGTATTTGCTTACAACCCCCACTGCATGGGCAATATCAAGTCCAGTGCAGACCATAGATACATAACCAATAGTTGAAGCGTAACGAACCTTACTCATGTAGTATTGTTCCTCCTCTGACTTGGGAGCTTGATTTTTGCTGAGTTTGAAATGACTGTCCAAAGGTGTGCTAACTGGTTTGGCCTAATCCATATTGAACATGTTAAACACTTTTTCACATATTCAACCTGTGAAAGCCTCAACGTATCTGACAATTCTCATGCCAAAGATTTGCTTTGCCGCTCCCAAATCCTTCATTGCAAAGTGCTCTGACATCACTTCTTCAGATTATTGATCTCATTAATGTTGGCTCATGCAATAAGCATATCATCTACATACAACAGTAGAATGATAAAAGAGTTGTCAAAGTACCTGACATAACAACAGTGATCTGTCTGACTTCTGCTGTACCCTGCATTGAGCATGAATATATCGAACTTCTTGTACCACTGTCTAGGAGCTTGCTTTAGGTCATACAAGTTCTTCTTCAGTTTGCAAACTAAATCTTCTTTTTCTTGTACCATGAACCCCTCAGATTGGTGCATGTAAATTTTTTCTTCAAGATCTCCATGAAGAAAAGTTGTCTTCACATCTAACTGTTCAAAGAATAGATCTTCAGTAGCAACCTTAGCCAGCACCATTTTGATTGTTGTGAGCTTAACCACAGGAGAAAATATCTCAGAATAATTAATGTCATGTTTCTGCTGAAAGTCTTTTACAAGTCTAGCTTTGTACCTCTTACTGCCATCAAACTGAGCCTTCACCCGGTACACTCATTTATTGTGCAATGCATTCTTCCCTAGTGGAAGTTCTGTCAGCTCCCATATCTGATTTCCCAGCAGAGAATTCATTTCCTCCATCGGAATCCATCTCCTTCTTAATGGCCAGCTTCCACTTGCTAGAATTTTCATCTACCAAGGTGTCTTTGCAGCTCTGTGGTTCTCCACTATGTGTCAGCAGAATGTAATTCAAGGTTAGTGAGTAACGCTGTGGAGAACGCGTGCTCTTGACTAAACTGTGAACGGTAGCTGAAGTAGTGAATGACTCTGACCCTGACTGCAGAACAATAGAAATGAGTGCCCCAGACTCACTCTCCTCGTAATTCACATTTCTGCCATGTATTGTGACTTATGGTAGATCGTCAAACTTTACGAACTCTGATTCCTGAGGAGCTGCTTCAGAATTTGTATCAGTCTTGTCCTTGTACATCAACTTCTCATTAAAGATCACATTTCTGCTTCTAATAATCTTTCGATCCTGATCATCCCGGAAACGATAGCCAAATACTTCGTCTCCATAGTTAATGAAATAACATTTCTTTGACTTAGTTTCAAGCTTGCTACGAGCATCAGGATTGATTAGAACATTTAAAAGACAACAAAAAATTTTAAAATGAGAAAATTTGACCTCTTTGCCGCTCCAGACCTCCTCAGGTAATTCACAGTCTAATGGGACGGATGACCCTCTGTTGATCAAGTAAACTGCAGTGTTGACCGCATCTGCCCAGAAAGTTGGTGGTAGTCCGGCGTGCAATCTCATGCTCCTGGCACGCTCATTGATGGTCTCGTTCATACACTTTGCAACTCTATGTTATTGTGGTGTCTCCAGATTGGTCTTCTCCATTATGATATCTCGAGCTGCACAATACTCCTTGAACCCACCATCGATGTACTCACCATCATGTCAGACCTCAAACATTTCAGTTTTAAATCTGTTTCTGTTTCAACCATGACCTTCCAAGTTTTTAATACAGTAAATACATTAGATTTATGCTTTAGAAAGTAAATCCATACATTTTTGCTATAGTCATTTATGAATGTGACGTTGTAACGAGAGTCTCCAAGAGATGCCACTGGGGAAGGTCCCCACACATCGATGTGTACAAATTCTAATTTTTCTGCCTTTTTCGCTCTACCACTTTTCAGGAAACTAACATTCTTCTGTTTACCCATAATGCAATTCTCACACATAACGAGTTCAACTAACTTTAGTTCGAGTAGCTTACATCTGGACTGAAGTTCTTTCGTGTCTCTCTGACTCTTGTGTCCAAGCCTGCAATGTCACATGTCTTCTGTGCTCTCTGCAACTGTAGTATCAACACTATTAATTAAATCAGTAGTCATATATAATGTACATGCTTTCTTATCCCAAGCCAGTACCAATGCTCCTTTAGAGACCTTCCAAGTGCTATTTGAGCACACTACTGAATGCACTCCTTCATCTAACTGTCCAACACAAATTAGATTCTTTTACAACTCAGGATTGTGTCTGACATTTTGTGAGATCCATTTGTTTTTGTTAGAGAGTGGAATTTATACATCTCTCATCTCCACCACGTTCAAAATTGCTCCATCAGCCAGGTACACCTTCCTAAAGTCACCAGTAACATAGTTTTGCATTAACTCCCGGTAGGAAGTTGTATGGAAAGAAGCCCCTAAGTCTGGTATCCAGTCGTGAACAGAGCTGCGAACTACAAGCAATAGTGCATCATGCACTTCTTCAGTTACAACATTAACACTAACTTCTTCGTCTTCTTAGCATTTTTGCAGTTCTTCTTTATGTGACCAGTTTTGCCACAATTCCAGCAGGTTGCTTGCTGATCAGGCTTTGACTTGCTCTTGCCTCTGTGCTTTGATTTTCTCTGTGCTTTGATTTTGCTTTGATTTTGACATTCCTTTGTTTGAGTCTCTGTCATGTGATTTCTCTCTGGAATAAACATTTAACGTCAAACTTGAACACGAGGCCTCGCCGGAATACTTCCTGCGCACCTACTCAGTCAAAATTAAATCACGAATATCATCATATTTCAGCTTAGTTTTACCTGCAGAGTTGCTTATTGTCATTCTCATAGTTTTCCGGCTATTTGACAATAAAACCAACAATATCAATGCACATATCTTATCGTCAAAATCAATTTCAACAGACGACAATTGATTTGTGATATTGTTGAAATCATTCAGATGCCGGGCGACAGACACACATTTCATTATATTTAAGTTGAATAATTTTTTCATCAAGTGCACCTTGTTATTCGCTGATGACTTTTCGTACATACCTGATAAAGCTGTCATGAGTTATGCAGAACCTGTCTATACCTGATAAAGCTGTCTGATCTTCTTGATGACATTGTGGGCAACAGATCTCGATAGGGTCAATCGAATAACCTCAGAACCTGTCTATTCAATAGATTCCAATCGACCTCTTCCATCTTCTCTAGTCGTTTTCCTAGCAGCAGAAGATGTAGTTTCTTCCCATAGAGGTAGTCCTCGATCTGCATCCTCCAGTAACCAAAATTTGCGCTGTCAAACTTCTCGATCCCCGAAACTTTTACTTCGTCTCCAACCATCGTTCTTCCTCAGATCTGAAACCACAGCTTTGATACCAATTATTATGAAAAAAAACAACAATAAAGTGAAAATACCGGATCAAAAAAGTGTAAACCAAAAAATAACACACAAATTTACGTGGTTCAACTAATTTGCCTACGTCTACGGAGTTGTAGAGGATTTTAGTATTTCGAGAAATTATACCGTCGAGCATCTCGACGTTTACAAGAAAACTTTCTTTTTTTCTCTTTTCTCTCTCTTCCTCTCTTTCTCTTCCTTTCTTAGCTCTTCACCATAAGCTTTTATTGTAAGCTTTGCTGAGCCAAGCTTAAGGAGCGGAGGGATTAAGAGGGCTTGATTTAGCAATTTATGACTTGTCAAAAGAGGATATTTAAAGAAAACGGGAGAGCGGTAGGCGAGATGCGAAGAGAGGAAGGTGAGACCCAGAGAGAGGTAGGTGAGATGCGGAGAGAGGTACGTGGGATGCGGAGAGAGTTTGGTGAGTCACAGACTCCATATATTTAACATTGTGAAGTTTATTTTCATTCATATTGCTAATACTTTTGATTTGCAAAATTTGTTCATTTTATTTGCACGTATATTTTTCTCAAATATTTATAATAAAACCTCCTAATCAACTGAGTTTTGTTACCAGAGCATAACTTTTATGATGATCGAATTTCAAAGCAAATGGGTGGCTAAGGTTTTATCAGGGAAAGTAAAACTTCCATCAGAGGAAGAAATGGTTGCATCCGTCAATGAAGTCTATGCTAAAATGGAAGAACTAAAAAAGCCTAAGCGCCATACTCATTTCCTTTCTGTACTTGAGGTTCTGAATCCTGCTATCCAACTCTTTTTTCAAATCATTTGCACTCCCAAAATAAAATAAAATAAAAATCATTTTTTTTTGCAAATCAGCCCGGATATTTGAACTGGATCGCTGCTGAAATCGGTTTACCACTTGTGGAGGAATGGAAACTGCAGATGTACAGCTTACTAGTGAAGTGTGTTGTGTCTTATGATGATGGCTATCGCGATAGGTGGAGTCTCGAGCAATGGAAGGCACAATCAGAGCCCTCAAATCAGGGTACTTGATCGATTATGATGATCAAGTTTATAACGTTCTTGGCAAATAATTGCTGATTTCATGGCGATAATTATTTTACATCAGGTTTGGAACTCTTTATTTTATGGAGATCCTATATTTGCTCTTTATCAAAAGCTTAGAAGTTTAAAATTTCTCAAAGGCAAACATAGTTTTAAGATGCCTATCTTTTTAAGCTTGCTACAAATCTTGGGCAGGAACAATTAACTTCTTTTCATTTGTTGGACAGAGATCCTTTTAGCATCACACTTCTTGCCAGGCTCTTGAATATTAAACACAAACTTGATCATGCTTATTAGGCCGAAGTTTTTTTGGCATCCAAAGGGCCAAAGCCAAATAGCTGACTAACGGAGAAGATGATCTTTACTTTCTTTTTAAAAAGTAAAAGGGCAAAACCAACAAATATTATATTAAATAGATTTCAACAAGTAATTATTGTTCTAACTTTCATCCTAAAATTATGCAGGCTGAAAAATTCCACTTTCAAAATATCTTTAATTCTCTCATTGATTCTGACCCTTCAAGTTTATATATTTCTTCAATTTATACTATTCCGCCCTTTATGTTAGTTGCCTTGATAGCAGCTATCACTTCGAAAGCAATCAAGAGGACAACCTTCTCTTCAACTAATAGCTCTGCTTCTGGACGTGATGGTTTGCATTTGAGTTACACTAAGTCGAAGGATAATATAGAACATGAAGTCCGCTAGGCTATTAAATATTTTTTTCAGACCAACAGGCTTTCGAGGATAGTCAAATCCATGGGGATTATTTTTATTCCTAAGGGTTCTCATGTCAGGAATCTTATTGACTATAGATCGATCCATTTCATTGTGCACCACCTTTTTTAAAATTATTGCAAAAATTTTTATTAAGCACATGAAACCTATCATGGCTTTCATTACTCAAAATAGTATCATGTTTCAGGAATCTTATTTACTAAAGATCCATTCATTGCGCAACACCTTTTATAAAATTATTGCAAAAATTCTTATTAATCGCATGAAGCCTATCATGCCTTTCATTACTCAAAAAAGTCAATCATGTTTTATTCAAAATCAGGTCTCCACTGACATTATCATTCTCATCAATAAGCTGTTTCATGAATATCAATGGTGTGGAAATAATAGCATTTTTCTGTGCAAAATTAGATATTAAGAAGGCTGTTGATATCGTTAATAGAGAATTTCTCTATTCAAGGCTTTCGAAAGGGGTTTTACCCACCCTCATTTCATCGACTGGATAAAAGTTTGCACACAGGAGGTTTATTACACGTTTTGCATAAAATGGCAGTATGGAAGCTTTATTTCCCTTCTACCGTCTGTTGTAGACAGGATGTCCTCCTTCTTCATATTTATTTTGGATTGTGCTGGATGGTCTTTCTAATCATTTTGAGGAAAGCATTATTTCTAATACTTTTGAGGGAATTGACTAGGTAATGTCCATTCATCTCATTTACTACATGCAGATGATTTTATGACTTTTGGCATGGGAAACATAGATAATATCAAAGGGTTTAAATCTATTCTTGACATTTTTGTTAAAGCTTCAGGTTTATATATCAGTTATGACAGAATTTTATGACCTTCTCCCCAAACACCAGTAAACAGGGCTCTCTAAGTTGCCATACCAACTTTCCCATATCTGCTTCTAAATTTACTTATCTAGGCATCCCTTATTTCTACCAAGCAGTTCCACTTACTTGATTTTCAGCCTTTGCTAAATAAACTGATATCTATTTTAGATAGTTGAAAGGCAAAAGTTTAGTCTTTTGCTGGTCGCCTTCAGCTCATTAAATTCTCTATACAGAGAACTATTTCCTACTGGAGAACTTGCCTAAAGCTGTCTAAAGCTTATTAACAACAGATGCTGCTCAATATTCCTTTTTCATAGAGATATTGAAGCTAAAGGTTGCATCGTATCTCTTGGAATAAATCTTGTAAACCTAAAGCTTATGGGGGTCTGGGTTTGGCCTCCACCATCTCTCTTATTTATGCTTACATATGCTATCTTATTTGGAACAATTCTTGTAATTTATTTTCTGTTTGGTGGAAAATTAAATAATGCTCATTATGACGACCTTATCCAGCAAGAGCTTCTTTCTTTTGGAAATGCTTATGCAAACTCAGCCATCTTCTCAGACGTTGTCTATCTTATAGTATTTCTAATGGCTGCCATATTAACCTTTTTTTGGATCCCTGGCTTCATAGGAAGTCCTTGGTTAATGTCTTTGAGCATAGAATTTTTTTTCTTATGCATCAGCCTCCCTTCTTGTCTCAAAGCAGTATCACTAATAATCACGTGTGAGAACTGCATCTGTTGAGATTTGTATCTAGTATAGGGTTCTATTTGTAAATAGAAGAAATTTAGAGGTTTATTTGTAAATGTTGTAAAGCTCTATATAAGCAGGAATAATGAAATGAAATAGATTTTTAAAGCAATTAATTCTTTATGGTGTTAGAGCACTAACTCTAGCAGTCGTGCAACTCAATCATCCTTTCCTTTCCTTCGTGTAGCAACAACGATAGAACTCGTTGGGAAGGCAACAAGGGGATCACCGCTCGACAGATGGGATCGTGACAGACAACGTCGTTTGCAGACGGGATTTTGACAAACGTATCGCGACTCGACAGACGAGATCGCGACAGGCGAAAGCTCGCGACTACTTTGATTGTGACTTTCTCGGAAGGATCGAAGCATTCTGTCACCAAGGTCTTCTGCAAAGGTTTGCTGCAAGAGGAAGGCAACAGAGCAGTGCCTTCGTTTTTGGAGTTGCACTCGACGATAAGGAGGTGAAGGATCGAAGTGATTGTGGTTTTGTGTGAGAGACAGAAGGGGTGCGGCTTTGTATCGACTAAGGCAAAACATATTGCACGAAATTGTAGGAAGTCACCTGTGTTTTGTGTGATCTGGACTTGAACCTTATTAAAAATGTCAGGAGACGGAGATACTGCTGCATGTAAGGGATTGGAAATTTTCGGAAAGAAGGATCCCGAAGTTCTAAGGGCCTTGGTCGGGCTTATACAACGAGCTAGCGTCTTCACGAGAGCCACCACGTCAACACATACTCCGACGCAGGTGAAGCTAGATCTCGCTCCTGTAGATTTGAAGCTTGATGGGTATCTGAGTTGTTTGCGTCGAATCGAGGCTGCTCTAGTAGAGAAGATACTAGATGGATACCTCCCGGGGGTTGAACCAAGAGTGACAGTGCTGAAAGGGATGAGTGGAGGACCACACATACCTTGTTTAAAACCCGACTACTCAACTCGATAGTTTTAACAATTGCCTCATTTGTGGATGACATTCGAAAGTTGAACGAAATTTAGGCAAATCTGAAGATCTATGCTGGAGCTGAGAACTACATGAGGGTATTTCAGATTCAACGTGAGACAGAGACAGTGGTTCAGAGTGATAGATCGATTCAGGAGTACTCTGTAGACCTGGAGTGGTTGTGAAAGATCTTAATCACTCTCACCTATGTTGAGTTGTGGTGATCCAGGTTGTAAAAAGGGAGAGATCATTACACAGATGAGGACTATGCAGTTTTTGGCTCATTTAAACCCGGCGTTTGATCAGAGGAGATCAATTCTCCTAGCTCAGACGACTATTCGTACACTGGATGAGGCCATTGTTGCGATAATACAAGAGAGTCGCATGAAGCTATACTCCAAGTCAAGTGGTTTTTTTGGGTGCCCGATCAGCATTGGTTGTTGCTAGACCACGTACGCTAAGTGTCTAGAGGGAGACTTGCAAGTGCTACTATTGTGGTGAAATTGGCCATCTGAGCAGGGTCTACCCTAAACCACTTAAGGAGAGAGAGGTGAATGTGGATCAAGTGGAGTTCATGGTAATGGGGGTCGTGAAAGGTGGAAGAGGGGACTATCAGACAAATCTGATGGTAGCAGAGGACAAGAGAGAGAGATATGTGATCTTTACTAGTGAGGATTATGAGCGTTTGGAGTTGAAGTGAAAACAAAATGCAGCAGTAGATAAAACTGAGAATGTTTCAAATTCATCAACATCAAAAGCTAATATTTCTACTTATGCTCGCTTCAGCAAAGATACTGGTGAAACACTTGCTCTTGTCTCTATTTCCACTACAAAATCATCAGAATGGATCATAGATTCTGGTACTTTTCATCACGTGACAGGTGCTGCTGGAGAGTTTTTATCATATACTTATCTAACAGTACCAATGAGTATACAGACTACTGATGGTACAACACGGTCTGTAGTTGGTAATAGAATAGTGAGATTTATCAATCATATAACTTTGTCCAATACTTTGCATGCTCCTTTTTTTCCAGAATCTTTTATCCATTAGTGTCATTATTCTCCAGTTAAAATGCATTGCTTCTTTTGATATTCCTCAGGTGAACTTCCAAGAGAAAGGAATAGGCCAGACACTTGGAACTGGAAAGTGATATAGCGGGCTCTGGTACTTGGACCGAGAGGGAATGAATTCAGCCCGCCATTCATGGTGGAAAGTTCTACAATTAAAGAATTTGGTAAGAACGTCGAGGGTGTGTTACTGCCACATCACAGACCTATAGAATATTCTAGTCTTAGTTTTTATTGAGTCGGTTGTATTCATCTATGTATGGAAAGAAAAATAAAGAGAAACTAGTGTGTGATGCTTTTGAGTTTGACAAGCTCACTAGGAGCTCTTATGTTAGTTCGGGGAATAAGAGCTTTGGTGTGTTTAATTTGATACATTCTAATGTATGGGGCCCTTGTTCTCTTAGTCTATGAATGATTATCGGTATTTTGTTACTTTTATTGATTGATTTTCTCGTGTTACCCGGATATAATTGATGAAATAGAAAAATGAGGTGGTTGCTTGTTTTAAGGGTTTTCGTAATGCAATCTATAGACCCAATATGGTGCAGTTGTGAAAGCACTGCGATCTGATAATGGAAGAGAACATATCAACAAAACATCTGAGGACTAACTGTTAACTCAAGGGATACAACACCAATCCACATGTCCATACACACCAACATAGAATGGAGTAACAGAGAGGAAGAATCGACATCTTTTAGAGATAGCCCAGAGCATGATGATGACAATGAATGTCCAATGTCGACGGGTGCTCAATTGATTAACAGGACACCTTCAAAAGTGCTGGAGTGGAAGTCTAGTCAGGTGTTGAAAGAGGACAATAGTGAAATCTTTCTATTGAAGGTATTTGAATGTGTATGATTTGTGAAAGACAACATATCATCGATAGGGAAGTTGATTCCCAGAGATGTGAAATGTGTTCGTAGGGTATTTTTCTACTCAAAAGGGTTATGTTTGTTGGAGCTCGATTGAGAAGAGATTTTTTGTGAGTTTGGGTGTGTTATTCAGAGAGTTTGAACCATATTACACTCGTTCACACCTTTGGTGACTGAACAATCATTGGAGATATCAGGT